CCCCAAAACCCCAAAACCCCAAAACCCCAGAGTGATTGTCAGACGTTATAAAAATTGTAAAAACTATTAAAATTTAAAATATACTTTTCTAGAAAATCAGAAATTAACAAACAATACCAAATGATATCGAATATGAATAAGATTATTGAGGGCTTATGGCTGGGGAATTTTAGTGCAGCAAATGACACTAATTGTTTAAAGAAAAATCGCATTACCCATATTTTAACAGTTGCAGGGATGCTTGAGCCTATGAATTCTTGGGTATAAATACGTCTTTCTCATTTAATTTCAGCACTTTTAATGGAAGAGAATTGAGATTTTAGACATGCCATTTGAGAAAATAGACGTGCATTTAGACGCAGCCGTTGAGTAATTGATCCTAATAGTGATTAATAATTGAGTTTAGTTTCATAATTGAAGGTATTGCTGCAGGAGGAGTTTTAGTGCATTGGTACGTTTTTGAATATTAATAGTGAAAATAGTTTCGCTGGAGTATCGAGAAGTTCTAGCTGTGTCATTGCATATCTGATGAGAGAGCATAATATGTCTTACTGGGACTCCCTCTACTTCACCAAGAAATAGAGATCAGTAGTTTGTCCTAACTTGGGCTTCGCTAAGCAGTTGTAGTAGTACGAATCAGATCTGACAGAGAGAAGAATAAAATAGACATAAATGGAGTACCTATCGAAAAAACTAGGTACTACATCGTTATCCTCGTAAACTCAAAATGGTCCTTCAGCTACACCTGCAAGAGGTACAACCCCTATGTTAAACTACAATTTCTCTACTAATAGCAATAACCCTGGCTCTACTCCTCCTAAGAGATCAACCAGTCAATTTGGAATAACTGATTCATCTAAATCAACATTACATGAAAGCAGTGAACCTTTTGGTTCTCAAGAGGAATTTAAGTATCAGTAAATTGGTTTGAAATCTGCTTTTAGCCGATCGATGAGCACATAGGAAGCGAAAGAAGAGATAAAGACCTAGGCTAAAGCAGTGTCTGAGTTTTACTGTCAACTTTGCAAGACTAAACTATTCTCTAGCAAGGACATAGTCACTCACTAGCCTAATTTTAGTTTCTAAACAAACAAGAGTCCTTATGAAAACTAGTAAAAGATATAATAATCTCAATGCATGGATCCATCTATGAGTAATCTAGAAAATGCTGATACTTGCTCTTAGATATTCATTAACTGCCAAAGCTGGATAGATGAATCATAAGGAAACAAAGGACTTATCAAATGTCCCAAAAAATAATGTGAAGTCAGTCTGGGGTCATATAATTTCAGTGGTCTTAAATGTAGGTGTGGAAAGTAGGTTTCACCTGGATTCTTAATATATTACGATATGCTCATTAGAAATTGAAAATAGATTGCTTTATCAATTAATATTTTGTTTACTTTTAAAATAGTCAGTCTTATCTCCAACTAATGGGGTTTTGGGGTTTTGGGGTTTTGGGG